GGATGGTAGGCCGTCCTTCAGAGGGCTGGCATGCACAGAGGGCATGAGCACTCAGGATTGGCACCAGGCAGACACTCCAATGCCCTCATTAAGAAAAGCAGGCTTGGCAGGGACTGGCAGGCAATGGGTTGAAGATATCACAATGCAACTCCAAATCTGAAGCAACACCCCATTTCCCAACAAGCAGGTTACAAAAGTCTTGCGTGTTTTTTTTTCCCTTGACCAGCTTGGATATGTACACTGTTAATGATGCAAGTGAAGTAGTTCTAACATTAATGTATTGATTTAATTACATGCATATTTAAAATTGTATGCACAAATACACATATTTAGAAAGGCTGTCCTCTTTTTGTGCTCATTCAGACTCTTTGGCATCCCTCAAGCCCTCCTTGAGTGACCTCACTCAGTCTTCCAGAACACGCCAGCTTGCTCCTGTCCAAGTGTCTTTGAGATTTAGTACTTTTTGAGTTTGTATGTTGTGGTCACTGGAAATACTACCTCAAGAGTATTATCCATGCACCATTTGTGATTTCCATAAAGTGGACTTCTTGTACCGCTTTTAAAAGCGATCTGGATGGGGTTGTGGCTATGTAAGGAGACAATTCCCGCATTCAACAGCGCATACTCAGGTAGAGAGGGGTGAATTGACTGGAGGCTGGGGACGTTAAGGCAGCACAGCAAAAAGGAAAAGAGAAAGGGCCCGGAACAATGACGAGAGAAGAAAATGTGGAAAAGTCTGAGCAATTACTGATCTGGGTGATGAGAATAGGGACCTGCATCTTACTCTAGGCTTTTCCTTTGAATAATTTGAAAATTTTCATAAGGATTTTTAAAAAGCTTTAGAAGACTTGCTTACAATAGCGAATACTTGCCACAGGAGGTCAATTAAAAAATTTAATTTTAGTTTCAGGTAACCCCTATAAACATCCTAGATAGCATCACTTGAATTCCTTTCAGGGTATTTTGTTAGTCAAAATAAAGAAGGTGAGTGAGCCCTCTGTGTTATGAGGAACTTCTAATAGACACAAATATGAGGGCGCATATTTGGCCATACACACTATTTTCCTCTGCGTGGTGGGTCTGAGGGGATGGGATGGTAATGACCACACACGGAGAACTTCTGTAGGTGATGGGGGGCCCACTGAGTGTCCTTTGTCAAAAGTGCCCATTACCTAGTGGCCTCGTTGGCATCTCAGCTGCAAGGCCCAGGACAGCAGGGAACATGCAGTCCTGGCAGCTGGCCTGGTGGCACCGGCGTGGGGATGGCGGCCGTGCTGGTGCCCAGTGGAGAGGCAGCGTTTGTCGTTGGGCAACGCTTCTGCCCTGGAGACAGGGCGCAGAGCCGTGGTCGGCACGCCGGTGTGAGGCGGATGGGCAGCTGTCCCGCAAGCTCCAGCTATGTCGGGCAGGGGTGTCTAGGCCTAAGATTCCTAAATTACCACAGTCTGCAGAGGTTGGGAAACTGCATTATGTTAGTTTTGTAGCAATGGCTTTTCCAAAGGACCAATGGAAAAGATATGATTTTAAAAACATTTTTGAAGAATAGGATGCTTTCCATACAAAACAAGTACTTGCCAGTGAGTATTACAATGAAATATCTCTACTTGGCCTGTGTGGGGAGTCTGGAATTCTCTGGAATTCTTTTATGTTACTGTGTTTTTCCCCCAAGGATTCACTGTGCTAGGCCACAGTAGGCCAGTCACAATCTTTGCGAGTTTACTTCCGACACTTTTTGGTATTGTCCCATTCACACCCTCACATTTCACACGAGAGGGAATTTCTGGTATGTTGAAGGAGCCCTCCCGCAAACATAAAAATCACGACATAGTGGCTTTATAGTGTCCATCTCAACGTGCCAGAGCTAGCAGATTTATTGGAATGCAGAACAATAAGACAAAATAAACAAAATACCAGCATGCTCCAACTGAGAGCAAGTTGGTTTTGGAAGATGTGTGTTTTCTTGGATGAGCTAAGTGTTGATTCTAACCCCCAAAGACCAAAAAGTGTAAGGTAAGCTAAGTGTCTGCTAGATTCCTTCTGCCACCCGGGTTCTGTGAAGCCAGCATGGAGGTCGCTGGTGGCAGCTGCAGAATCAGGCTGGCAGATCGTTCATCCTCGCTCTGATGGGGCAGTTCCTGAACCGGAAGCCGCGCCAACCTCTGCCGCCCTCTGCCAGCTTCAGCTCCGCATGGTGGGGGCCGGCACTGCCAGCAAGGGACTGGGGTGAATGCGGCAGGGTCGCTCGAGCCCTGCCCAGCCGCCCCTCGCCAGGGCAGAAGTTGAACCGGGACATGGCTATCAAGTGTGGTTGCTCGGTTTGGCCTGTCTCTTGGGCTGCTGTCCTGGGCAGGAAACAGGGGAAGCTTGTGGATTTAGCTCATCAGTTCTGCAGTGCCCTCTTTAAATGGGATCTTACTCGCTCAAGAGAAAAAGCAAGCATACCGCGGAAGGCTTGGGTCGGATCGTTTACGTCTTTCATCCCTGCCCCGTGCTTTTGTATAATGCAGTTATTTCCCAGCATCCTCATTAGTGGTTTGGGGTGCCTTTGGCTGTATTTAAAATTTTCCAATAGATTTGCCACACATCCTATGACGAATGTAATAGTTTCCTGTGAATTGTCATGATTTTGTACGCTACCTTGGCATGCCTGGGTATGTGTTTGCATGAAAAATAATCTCACTGTATGAAGGAACACTGGTCTGACTGCATATTGGTTTCTGTTGAGTTTCCTTCCGTGTGGTTATCTGACTCAATGTCGTTGGGACCGGGTCTGGCACAGATACTCTAACTGTAAAGCTTAATGTATAACTAGTGTGTTTTTCTTCTGTGTCAGCAGCTGGCACACATCTCTGGTGAGTAAATGGATGTCTGCAGCGGGGGAGGGCAAGGCTGCAGTAAGCAGTTTTGAAATTGACGCCCCTGGTTGCTGCAAGTGATAAGTTAATTTGAGTAACCTGTAAGACCTGTGGATTCACAGGTTTCAAAAACAGGAAAGTCTCTTGTTTAAAAACCCTCTCCGGCAGCATGTGGGCTCGGGAGGGAGCTGGCTTGCGGTTTGGCGATCGTACTTCCTTATTGAGCCGAGGGCTGTGACGCAAGGCCTCCTGGGAGCGCCGCGCGGCCGCAGGCCCGGCAGTTGCCCCCGCGGGTCCGAAACCGCCGGGGCTTTCTGGACGGATGAGAAGTCTAAAAATTTCCCTTTTCATTTCCTCTCTTGTGTGACTTTGTCATTTTTTTTAAAAAAAATAGTAATCGAAAAGGGAATTTTACCGGTGCTCTTAAGGAGTTTATCTTGACGGGGCAGCTTCCCTCCCACTCCCCCAAAATCCCACCCTGAAAACCCCAAGCTAAAAAAACCCCTCTATTCTGCAGATTTTTCAGCCGGTCTGTGTTTGATTAATCTGCCTGGGGGCCGGGTTTGTAACAGGAAGATCTCTAAAAAATGTATGATTTCTGAAAGCCGCCCTCCCTGTCCTTGGCCTTCCGAGAGTTTCGAGCCCAGGCAAACGCCCGGCCCCTCTGGAACCCCGCCCGGTGCGCCCGGGCGCGCCTGGGGCAGATGCGCCCAGCAGCGGCGCTTGGGCCGAGATAAGTGGAAACCGATGCCGCCCCGCGCCCGGGGCGAACTGACCACAGTCCCGGGAGCGCCGCCGGCCGCAGGTGTGGGCGGGCCCAGGCTTCGAAAACATTCCGCCTTAGAACTGAGCTTCGCCGGCCTGCTCTCCTGGCCGCCCTGGGGGAGGGGGGAGGCCGCGGGCGCAGCGACTGTGTGTGCAGGAGGCCGCCCCTCGCGCTCTCCCTCCGGAGAGGGGCGCACAGGGACCCGCTTCCACACCCAAGCTCCTCCCCGAGTGCCGGGGCCCCGTGTTCACGGTTACACACGTGAAGTATGTGTGAGGATACATATCTGTGCATGCATGTGTGCATGTCATTCATGCTATTTTGCCCAGTCTAGGAGCTTTTTAAATTTCTCAGTGAATTCTAAAAAAAAAAAAAACATTGGAAGAGGTGTGTATTTTAGTGCTTCAGCAAATTACCAGTCAAATACGCTGATTCTCACTGAACAAACCCACCTTGCTGATTCCAGTCTTGGCCCTGCTATCTCTGCCTGGGATAATTGCTCGCCAGACTTGACTGCTCTCTCTCGCTTTCTCTTTTCTTGGTAAGACCAATAAATCCTCCCCAATCACGTCACTGAGGCCACAAGGAAATGTAATACTGCCAAGTGTGGGAGCTAACAAAGCCCTGCCAAAATCTTAAGGTTACAGAGAGAGCAGCAACCACTCTCTGGGATATGCATGTCTACCGTGTGTGCGCGCCTGAGTACTGGGTGTGTGCACGAGTGCTGTGTGTGTGTCTGTTGTGTGTGCATGGGTACTGTGTGTGTATGAGTACTGGGTGTGTGTGCATGTCTGTTTTGTGTGTGCATGTCTACTGTGTGTATCTACTGTGCGTGCGCATGGGAACTGTGTGTGTATATGTATTGTGTGTGTCTACGGTGTGTGTACATGAACTCTATGAACATGGGAGCTGTGTGTTGTATGTGCTGCGTGTGCACATGAGCGCCGGGCATGTGAGTGTGCATGTGTATTGTTTGTGTGTTTGCACGCACACGTGTATACCGTGTGTGACGCATGGGACATCACAGGTCAAGGGGCAGCGACTGGGAGGGTGCTGGGGCGAGGGGGGCAGTCACTTTGGTACCAAGCCCCTCTCTCCCGCAACGTGCACCGAGGGTGCAGGAACCCTCAAGATTGACCGCCGTATATTCCATTTCTCCTTGCTGCCTGCTTTTCAAGTGGGTCCTTCTAAAATATCTTGCTTTTCAGCCTCAGGAAAAAGGAGGGAGTTTAGACTTGAGAATATGGGCCAAGGACTCAACATGACCCTTCTTTTCTGCCGTGTGTGTGTGTGTGTGTGTCCTGTATTTCCAAAGACTGAGGGGTGAAGAAAAAGGGGAAAACGGAGTCCAATCAGAAAGGTAGTATGAGTTTGTATTTATAAAATAAACTTTTATCCCTCTACCCAGGACTCTGCCCCAGTTTCCTGTCTCTAACCTCGTGTGCAGGGCTGACCCACTTCTGGCTATTTTTATTTGCTTCCTTGAAAATGCTCGCTGTGTGATTAGAGTTGACTCTTGCCAACTTTGTCCTTATCCTCCCTGCCATCTGAGTCCAAAAGAGCAGCCCTGCCCACCTCGGTCCCAATAACTGTGGGTGCGATCAGAGCCAAAAAACAGCAAAGAGAGTTTTACAGGCGATGTGACAAATAAGTGACCCCTTTTCTTTGAATGAGAGAAGCAGAATAAGCAGCTACCACCCGCACCTGCATCGTTTTGTTCCGTCTGATGTTCTTCTCCGAAGTCACAGGTGCCACTGGAGATGGCACTTCCAGCTCCCAGCATTCCTGGGGGGCCACCTGGGCTCCCCCTACCTGGGGCGCAGTAAGTGCATGTGCAGTCACTTATCTCGGATACAACCTGAGTCAACAGTGGAACCAGGAAGTGGACTCAGGGTCCAGTATCATATGGAAAGTGGGTGTATTTACTTTTCTCTTAGAACAAAGTTTGATTTACTCTTTAATAAGTCACCACTAAGGATATAGTTCTGGAGAAATTTGACTTGGCACCCAAATCTAAGTCACATATTGATAACGTAGGCAAGGGAACAGGGAGTCTCTTGCCTTTTCCCAGCTTTATCATTAACCCCAAGTTTGGAAACGTATTTTCTTTTAGAAGTGTCAATTCCCAACTTTTCAAGGAGGCGATAATTCTCCATGGATGAGGAATTGTGGCATCCTCAGGCAAAGTGTGATAACGGGGTAGCCACAGCACTGTTGAAACCCTGGAGGGGCTGTGTGACCAAATCAAGAGTGACCTTGGCCCCTGACCGGTCTAGGCCTCAGCTCTAGCACTGTGCCACCTGGGGAATCCCTCACTTCTTTGGTCTCAGTTTCCTTATCTGTAAAGTGGGGATAAGAAGTTATTTCCCTCTGAAGGTTTCAATATGAAGAATTATACAGTCTCAGGATTGTGTATTCCTTAAGTCATTTTCATTTTATCTTATTGTCTGGAGTATAACTTCTGTTTTCACTTTCTGGAAGTGTCTGCAGGAAGTCACCTGTACAAGGTGGAGGGCGTGACTCCACCCTCTCTGCCTTCCCGCTCACTGCTCTGTGGTGGACGGAGCTGCCTGCCAGGGCCCGGAGCAGAAGGATGTTCTTGCCTCACTGCTGTTAGGGACCAGGGTCCTGGGAGTGGGGGATGGTGGTGAAGGTTTCCTTTTCTTTATGCTGACAGCGCTTCCTCATTAAATGCAGCCATCTGCAAAAAAGAGGAAAAAAAACCCCAAGAAGATAAAGGAGGCCCTGAGGACTTCTCCTGGGTCCCCTGCGGTCTCCGGGACAAAGGCTTCTTTGCTTGCCCCAAGGGCCCACGACAGCTTCTAGGGAGCAGAGCACCCTCTTCAGAGTTCTAACAGCCTCCCAGCTGCTCCCACAGTAGAGCTGTGAGCAAAGGTGCAGGTCGCCTTTGGAGATAAGGAGAAGGAAGGTCCCCGGGAGGTCAGGGTGCAGGGGAGCGGTGCCTCGGGCGGGGCCGTGACTGGGTGCCTGGTCTCCAGGGAGCTTACCGCTCTTTAAATCTCGAGTCGCCGTGCACCAGCCATTCTGATCAACAGCAGTGAAAAAATATTTTTTCCGTCGGGTGGCCACTTTCGTCCCTCTTGGTTGTGTCCTGGGGAGCGAGGGAGAAAGGGGACAGTGTGGCCTGAGGCCGCACACGAACCTACGGCGTTTCTTTTCTCCCAAAGAAGCCAGAGGAGCCAGGTGCTTAGGCACCTTCCGTGGTCAAAAGGATGACGAGGGGTGGGGGGAATGTTGGTGGCGTGGTAACACGTGCCCAGCTGGCCCCCCTCTCCTCACTAGTTCAGGGGGCAGGGCCCATGATGGGGCTGGGCTTGGCTGGGGGTCTTGTGGTGGAAATAGCTCTAAAGCCTCCTGCTTACCAACTGGTGGGTTCCTTTAAGCATCACAACCACCTGGCGAAATGCACAGGCTCGTGCCCATTTAACAGATGAGGAAACTGAGGCTTAGAAGGGGGCAGGACCTCCCCAATGCCACCCCGTTGGGAAGAGATGGGCCTGCCGCCCCCATGGCCTCCCCGCTCTCAGGCTGAGGGGCCCTGGAGAGGGGACAATTTCTTTTCATTCTGGGAGGAATGCATGGAGGTCCTCTAAGCTCAGTAGGGCTGCTTATCACGATTCAGCCTCAGGGAGTCACGTTTGAGTGTCCTCTAAGGGGCTAGGGCCAGGCAAGCAGACCCTAGAGGGAGAGCCTGGCCCCAGAGGGGCTGGCTATCCATGCTGGCAGATGCCCAGGTGGCTGTGCAGGTGGCCTGGACGCGCGCGTTCTTTCCCGGGTCCCTGGAACCTCACTCAGAGGTGGGCCTGCCGGGGTCCTGCTGGCCAAGGCCTTCTTGTTGGGAGGGATTTGCTCATTCCTCCCCATCTACTTCTCAGGCAGAGAGGAAACCACAGGAAACCACAGGAAATGGGGGAAATGCCTTAAGTGGGGTCCACCTGATGGGACAGATCTGGGGTGACAGAGGCCCTCTTGTTCTGACTCATCGAGGCCACCTCCAGGGACCCTGGAGCTGCGGGCACCCAGAAAGCCACCCTGCGCGTGGGCCCCGAGCAGCGGGCGAACCCAAGGGCAGGCTGCCGGCAGGTCCAGGGCTGCGTCCAAAGGCGGGGAGCCAGCAGCCAGACAGCGGTCTGCCCTGTGCCCGGCCGGACTCAGAGTTGGAACTCTCCCGAATTCGAGAGAGAACGCTACCTTAGAGAAGGAAGGCCTGTCTGTTGGCTTATTTATGTGTCCCCACACCCACCTTTGTTCTGTGGAGGGAACAGCGCAGGAAAGCCTGGCGGGCAGGGCAGCCGTGCCAATCAGGGCCCAGCACAGGAAATTGGAAATTGGAAACCGAGGGTCTACCCCCACTCCGCCTCTGACTGGCTTAAACAAACCAACACCCGCCTGACCTTTGCCCCCTCCATCTGTGGCCGGTGGCTCCGAGCCACACTCGCCGCCAAGGCCTCGCAGAGGCCCACACTCGGCCGGCCTGCTCGGGGATGGGGTCCTTCAGGTCCCAGCCAGGGCTGTGGGCGCAGCCATGATGTTTTTTGTCTTCAACAAAGAAAATCTTAAATTTTTTTTTTTTTACTCCTTAAATTTTCACCCATTAGTTTCATCAACGCAGAGAGATGGAACATTTGGCAAAATTATTTTAAGGAGCACTCCAACCTGTGATCATAATTTCAAATCGAGGAATTTGCTGAGCAGCTGTGGGGAGAACAAAGGGCCTGGGAGGGATTTGGGGCCTGGGGGAGGGGCGGCGGCATGGCCAGCACAGGCAGCTGGGGGGCAGGTGCCCCCAGGGCAAGCCGGTCCGGGTCTGCAGCCGGGTGACACTGAAGTTCATGTCTGCCCAGCGCACCTCACGTGGCACTTAAAATACACACACGGAGCAGAGCATGAGGTTCTGTTGAACCCGATGGCTGAGACTTCAGCTCAGGACTGGAACAGACTGGCCTTCATCCAGGCTCTGCCGCTTCCCAGCCTCAGCGAGTCATCTGTAAAATGGGGACAGAGGACAGTCATGTCAGCCACGGAGCAACTGCTCAAAATGCTATTATCGCCCATATGCAGAAATGAAGAATTTATGTGTTTCGTCTTTGCAACTGATTCATTCAACAAATATCCATTGATCCTCTATTATGGTCCAGGTGCTGGGCTGGGAGTTACAGGGATACAAATGTGCAAAGCATAGGAATTGATATGTTATTAAATAAGTAAAAATACTTCTAAGTTAAAAAATAAAAATGACTTCCAAGAATACTGAACTAATTTACAAAGAGCCTCTCTTAACAGATGGTCTACTAGAAACAATTTGAAAACAGTATAGAGTTAAAAAGGAAGCTGTCTTATTTCTGTTTTTGAATTTACTGTTTTTCAATAAAACTATTACATAGATGAACTTAATTTCATAAAATAAGTCCTGCTTTATACCTAAGAGCCTCAATCAGCTAATTTGCAGGTACTCAGACCTATTTGCAAACAACCTGGTTTGCCCAAGTGCCTTTCAAATACCAACGCATGGATATGGAGAAAGGGATTGCCCAGCTCTGCTAAATTATATTTCTAAGAATGAGAAGTTAGGTAGTTCAACCTGTTGTCCTTTGAAGAGAATTTTGATAGGTAATAATTGAGCTTATGCTCAAACTCTACTAGCAAGGGAGAGCTCACAACTTTATTTATTTAAAAAAAATTATTATTTTTTTATCATTCCCACCTGAGGACATACTTATTGATTTTTAGAGAGAATGGAAGGGAGGGAGGGAATGAGAAAGAGAGGGGGCCTTGATACGGACTGGCTGTGCATATGCCCTCACTGGGGACCAAACCCATAACCTAGGCAAGTCCCCTGACTGGGAATCGAACCCACAACCTTTTGGTGTACGGGATAATGCTCCAACCAGCTGAGCCACACCAGCCAGGGCAAGAGCTCACTGCTTTAAAAGGTTGGGCCCTGCAGGGACGGCATAATTAGGGGGAAATTAATCTCAGGGAACCTGTGCAGCTCGTGGGAAGCACAAAAGGCCTCTCTGTGGTTTCCTCTCATCTTGCTCTCTGTCACTGCCTTGGTCTTGCTCTGACTGCCTGTCCATCTTTCCCCTTTCACACCGAGCCTCGGCCTGCCCCCTGCCCCCGGGGAGCAACAGTGGGCTGGTCATAGCTGGGTGGCCAAGCGCTCGGTGCCGTAGGAGCCAAGAGCCAGCGTTCAGTCCCTTGCTCCTTGCCCTGTTCTCTGGGGTGGCTCAGCCAGGCTCTGCTTTCTTGGAAAACAACAGTGAACTTTGTTCAGCCAAAGCCCTACTTCCCAAACTCTGATATTGGCTCACTGGCCCTCCTCCCTCCAGCTGTCCCCAACTGCTGACCGCTTCTTACGCGCTGCTAGCTGCTTCCGCTGTTTCCGCCCTTCTTGGAAGGCATCGTGGGCCGAGGCAGATGGGACGCAGGCGCAGATGTCCGTGGCCTGGGCTTGCGGTCCGAAGTCAAGACTGGATCGTTGGGAAACAATGTATGTGCACCTACTTCAGAAACCTGTGGGCTAAAAAGCGGAATGAGCAGAGCAGCTCATTCCTACAGTTGCTGTATTTTCCTCACATTTTGGGTTGCCTGGAGAATTGTTAGAATTTTTTAAAAAAAGCAAGTTGAGAGCAACTAAAGTAAAAAGGGAAAAGTGATAAAAGGGAAAGGTCTATTTTTGGAGCACTTAAATTCTGAAACTCCTGACTCTGCCACTTCTGCTAATTTGGCTGTCCCCGCGAGGCCCTAGGGCGCTGCTCCCTCCCTCGCCCTTGTCCACAAGGCCCCCTGGCTTTCTGGATCGCACAGTGACCCCTCCCAGGGAGGCCCCCCGGGTTTCCTGCCTCTCCTGGCCTCCCGCCCTGCAGCCTCCTCACGCCCCAGGTCTGCCAGCGGCTCGCTGGGTGCCTCCTGAGACCCGCCGGCAAGGCCCCGGGGCCACCCCGGGGCCAGTGAGTTCTACATGCTGAGTGGCTCACCCGCAGGTCTCAAACCCCAGGGACCTCATCAGGAACGCGAATGGGTTTTGTTTGGCCTGAATGATATTTAAAATGCTTTGATTTAATTATCCACATTTAAGAAACAGGAGACTACAGGAAAAACCAGACAGCTCGTCTTGAAAAGTCACAGAGCTGGCAGGGCTGGACCTTTGCTCACTCTGGACCTGAGAGGCGGATGCCCCTGACATGTGGCACATGCTGTCCACTGGCCACCGTCTCCACAACACCAAGGATGGTCTTCCTGGACACGAACACCGAGTATCGGGTGCTGCTGGTCATGAGCTTCTCTCCCTGCCACCCCCGACGTGCCTCCTTCTTGAAGGGTCTTCTGATCTTTGTGGGCATTGGAGCTTGCTGACCCTGCTCGGTGGAGTTTTTTCAGAAATCCCGTCCTTTATCTCTAACGGACCACTAGCCTTCTTCCTTCCTCCCTTCCTTCCTTCCCTCCCTCTCTCTTCCTTCCCTCCCCCGCCCCTCCCTCCTTTCTCTCTCTTTCATCACTTTCAAAACAATAAAATAAATCGCACCTGTGGAGAAGTGTTCACAGCAAACACCTACAGCTCGATGATTTGTGTCCAGGTCAACACCAGTGTTATTACCAGCCCGGCCTGCTGCCCTCCCCACCCCCTTCCCGCCTCCGCCCTGCCCCCGCCACCGTTAACCACTGTCCTGACACTCCTGCTAAAGTGCCCTGGATTTTCTGTATAGTTTTATCATCAAAATACATGCCCTTAAATGCTAAAGTTTACGTTGGCCTGTTTTATAACTTTCGTATACGTGTAAGGACACCGTGTGTATTTGTTCACGCACGGCTCCTTCCTCTCCCCATTGTCCTTGTGAAACTCACCGGCGTGGATGTGCATAGCTGTCATCTATACATTGTCATCATGGATAGTACGGCCTTCTATTAATGTGACACACATTTGTCTGTTCTACTCCTGAAGGCCTTCTGGGCTGTGTGCTGTCCAGGGCTGGTTCTACCGGTGCTGCGTGACAACACCCTGCCCCTCCTGCGCCCCCTGCCCGGTGCCTGTGGCAGACTGATTGCATTTCTGAGAATGCCGGGTGTTTCTTTGTGGAAAGGCTTTAAATTATGGAGTCAGCTTATTTAAAGTTATTGGATTATTTCACATTTATATTTTTACTTAGGCCAGTTTAGATAAATTTATCTAAAATTTCCAATATAATGGCATGATATTGTTTATAATAGCTTCTTATGATCTTCAGTAAAGGTGGGTTCTGTTGGGGTGTCTCCTTATCATGCCTGATGTTGATTATTTTTACCTCTTTATTTCTTTTCTCTCCCCTTGCTCAATCCTGCAGGGATTTTTTTTTTTTTTAAATCAGTTTCCAAATAATCCAACTTTTGCTTTTATTGATATTTCCTATTTTATATTCTTTTTTAGTTCATCAAATTTTGCATTCATCTTTCTTTTCTTCTTTTTTTCCCCCTATAGGTTCAGCTAGTGTGCTACAAACCTCTTGAAGGCGAATGTTACATTTTGGGTGCCTGACACATAGAAGATGCATAATAAGTATTTAGGGAAAGAGCTAAGAAAAGAGAGAAAAAGAGAAGGGGGAGGAAGGACAACAGAATTGGGAAAGAAACCCGCCTCATATAGGTGGGGGATTAGTTGTAAGATACCCGCGTATATCTTTGCGTGCATGTGTGTGCTGTCTATGTGCGTGTATGATATACTGGCGTCCTTTGACTTAAACAATTTTGTAGCATGACTCCAAGTGCAGCTCAAGATGCAAATTGCAAGTATACCTGGAGACACCGCATTTTCCTTGGAAGATCTTCATGGAGTATTACTCACACACACCACGTGAGGTCCCACACTTGGCACTAGGGAGACAAACATGAATAGGAACTTGTTTCTGCCCTTTAGAAGCTCAGATTCTGCCAACAACTGCTGTGTAAATAAAGTTTTATTGAAATACGGCCATGCCATTCATCTGTGGCTCCTTTCTCACCACAATGACCAAGTGGAATAGGTTTGACAGAGCCATACAGCCTGCAGAGCAAGAAATGTTTACTATCTGACCCTTTGCAAAAAATGTCTAGGGCCCTGGTCGAGTGAATAGGTCTGAGGAGGCAGACCTTGGCCTTGTTCGCCACAGACAGCGTGGCGCCTGCTCCGCCGGTGAACGCCCAGCAGTCGCTCTCGAGGCCCCAGGGAGCTCGGCTCGCTGGTGGGCGAGAATCATTCCTCATTATCTAAGAAGTGCGCACCTTTTCCTCCAAGCAAATGCAGCACGGTATCCAGCAGGTACTGCTGACCTCTACGCAGCCGTGTTGATCATGCTGGGATCGCCCCTCACTCAGAAAGCTCACCCGGGGGCGCGGCCCGAGTTGAGCAAATCTCGAGACCCAGAAGCAGAAACCCAGGCTCCTGTGGAGAAGTAAGTCACGGTGGGTGGAGTCCACTCCGCACTGCCTTACTTTCATTCAAAAATCCCCCCAGAAGAGCGCTTCGCCCTTCAGCCAGCATTGTCTTAAGAGCAGTCTCAGAATTTGTGCCCAAGATGACCTCCCAGACGTTTTATTCTTTCACTCTGGACACTTAGCACCATCCAGGTGAAGAGAAGGTGGGACACAGGCTGGGGCAGGAAAGGCCGCGCCCGGATGCCGGGCTGTGGCCGCGTGGTGTGGGTGCAAACTCATCGGCCACTGAGCTAGAGCCTCTCCTGCAACGCTCCCGCGTGTGCTCCTCTGAGGCGCAGAAGGCGTGTCTTGACGGAAGAGCTCTGTGAGGTGTTTATCCCCTAAGACAACGAAGTGTTAACAGCTTGTGCAGAGTTGAGCTGCTAGAGTCAGCTAAACCGAGAATTTTGTCCTGGCCCTTTCTCTTAAGGGGGCAAGCCTTAGTGCTTAGTCAGCGCTTACGCAGGCTTGGTTTTTTGGTATGCTTTTTCCCCCCAGTGTGTGTCTCTGTGTTTAACTTTTTAAAAAATGTGGTTAAAAAAAAAAATCAGTAAGTCAAAGTGTCAGAGCCATCGGGTGAGAGTAAGTGCCAACAGGAAAGCAGGAAACACAGGCTGCGTGTTTGGGGAACGGAAGCAGAATTTCCATTCAACACCGAGCCTGCGCGGAACTCTGGCCGGCGAGCCCAGACAAAGGAACGCCTCTGTCTTTATCCTCCTGCGCTGGCTTCTGCGGCGGCCGCGCTCGCTTGGGAGGAAGTGGCGAGTCCCAGGCCGAGGATGCTTCTCGCTGTGGCGCAGGCCGCTGGGGGCACGTTGCGGAAGGCAACTGCGGTGGGCGCCACGGAGCCGCGGCGAGGGCGGCTGGGACCCGGAGGAGCCCGGAGCAAGCCCCGTGCTGCGACCTCCCGCTGCACGGTTTTTCTTTGTCTTTTCTTTTTCTTCAAGGTCCTTTATTTTTATTTAATTGAAATGATATTTTATTGTTTGTGCTATTACAGTTGTCCCAGTTTCCCCTCTTTGCTCCTTCCCGTTTTTCAAAGTAGCTGATTACTTGGAAGAGATCTCATGCCAAAAAAAAAGACATCGTGTCCCCTCCACCCGCCCAGTCATTTCGAATCACCAGCCCAGAAACACAACTGCTGCTGGGGGTGCGCCCTGAAAGATCGCCGTCCCCAGAGCCCCTGTGAAAAAGTCTGTGATAACAGACATGCCAATCCCCGGCGCCGCCCGGAAATCTCCCCCCAGGCGAGCCGGCCCGAGAAGTCAGCGAGGCCCGGTGCGGGCTGCCGGGCGGGTGGGAGACACGCCGCGGTCCAGGCCGCTCTGCGCCCCTGAGAAAGGCTTGGCCCCCGGGACGCCAAACTTGCCGGCTCTTCAGAGCTCATTTTCCATCCTGCCACTTCAAGAGGGCTTTGGGGTTTCATGGTGCTACTTATTTTCAGGAACACTCATCACAAAACTGAAACCGACATCACAGGACAAGGAGAAACCACCGCCTGCTCCACCAGCTCAGGGCCGGCACCCACCGCTCCCGCTCGAGAACGCGCTTTGCGCGCCTGCAGCCTCCCACCACGGCTTCCCCAGCCTCTGCCGCCTCTGCCGCAGGAGGCTCCTTCCCCCAGAGACGCTGCACGCGGAACGGCTCCTGGGCACAGGGCGACCGCTGTGCAGGAGACCCTGGACATGCACCCACGGCACTCACTGCTCTGCTGTCCTTCAAGGGCCTGACCCCAGCTCCGCCTGGACTTCGCCATCTGCCGTCCCCCCATGCACCTTGCCTCCCTGTACTCGTCCCTAGAAGAACTCACCTAATTGGGGGGGGGGGGGGGGGGATGCAGAGGGAGGAAAGGAGCTGAGATGTTACCGTGGCTGCCAGACGCCGCCAGCCAAGGGAGCCAGGGGGTGGGTGAGCCCAGCTCTGCCCAGAGGGCCTACACTCAGCTAAGAGCAAAAATGAATCACCAAATTGCTGGAGCGTCAGCCAGACGTGCTCGGCTGTATCTGATAGGCTGGGAGGGAGACGAGGGTTTGGCATACCCACCTGGCAGACAGGTATATTGGGTCTGATGAACTCTTGGAGAAAGGCCACTTCCTAGCCAAGGCCTGGCTTTCCAGGACAACTACACCCAGCCGTGCCCATGTTTAAGGCCACAGAAGAGGAAAGAAGGCCAGAGAGAAATCAGAGTAGGGGAGCAGGAGCAGACAGCTTCCCGGACCCCAAAAGGCTATGCAACAAAGATCAGGAGAAGTGAAGGGTCGAAGCAGTTATCTGGATAAATTAAACAAACGTCACATGAGGTGATGGGGTTTGGGGGCCTTTCCAGCAAGGCCAGTTGTCTGCATAATTCAACCCACGAGGAATTGCCCAGTGTCCCTGCGCCTGTGAGGGCAACGCCAGCCGGAGGCTTCAGTGGCTCGAGAGGCTCATGTCTGTTTCGCTCATCAGAGCAGGCGTTCGCGGTTAAATCAAGCCATTCAAGTGGATAGAAAAAAACAAGAGTGTCAAAGTAGCGACTGCATCTAATCAAGGAATATTCAATTGAACAAAATGAAGTGGGTTTGATCTTTTTAATTGGTGAATAAAATGCTGACAGTGGTACCATGTTGTTTGGCAAATTGTACAATATTCATTCATTTGATAACTATTTAATAAGTACCTGGGATATACTAATTAGAAATGAATCTCACTCTCAAGGAGTAAGTAAAAGATATAAAATATGCTCGTAAGCAACTCACCTAATCTCTTTAATAACCTGCGAGTTAGTCGCTTTTACTCCCATTTTTGGGGATGTGAAAATTCAAGTTCACAGCAGAGGGTCACACAGTGACAGAACCTTACAGAGAGTCACACAGTGACAGAACCTGGATTTGAACAAGGTGTCTGAGTGCTGAAGCCCATACTTTTTGGACACAACCCAGTGGCTTCTTGAGAGACGAGGCATTGAACTGTTCCTTCAAAGCTGTATGGATTTTACCAAGTTGAAATGAAGGCAAGGGCAAATAACAAAGAGGGAAAAATGGGTGTAAGGAGGTAGTCATGGTATATGACCAATGAATGGGGGAATCGGGAGCAAGAGGAAATTTATGGGTAGAAGCGATAAGATCAGTTGTTCAAATATTTATGAGGGGCTTCTAGAATGTGCAGATAGAAAACATTAGCCCTTCCAAATTGCACAACGAGCTCTGCAGAGGAGCTTGGGCCAGATGTTTAGCTTACACGAAAGGAAAGGTGGAAGCCATGAATTTGCAAAGGCAAAGATTCTATGAAGACAAGAAATGATGAGAAGGAAGGAGAGAAGGAGGCCAAGAGCCTTTAGAAAGTTCTGCCTTTAGGAAGTAGAAGAAAGGAATGGAAGTTGACAAAGAATGAGTCATCCTGGAAATAAGAAGTCAAGCACCCCAGGGCCTAAAGGAGGAGAGAATGGAGGAGGCAGGGTGTAACCACCCCAGACGCTGAAAAACGGTCAAGGAGAATAAGAACTGAGAAAAGGCTGCTGAACGGGCCATGAGGATATGTTTGGTGGCTTTTAAATAAGAATGTATGTTTGGGTAACAGAAACAGCAAGAAGGGACTGCCCTTGAAAGGACACTGAAAGGGAGGAGACAGAGAAAGTAGAAGCAAGGAAGGAAGAGCTCTTATAAAAAATTGCATGCCAGGCTGCAGAGTATCAGGCATTATAAATTTCCTCCTGCATGTCTCCTTTCTTCCGACCCTCCTCCGCTATTCTCCGCTGCCTGGTAAACTTGTTCTGGCCAAGTGAGTCAGTCACGATAGCAACACCCATTGGAGCAGACCTGTCAGTAGTATTCTGGAAAAAAAGGAGCTGATAAACTGTTCTAGCAAGAATTATTGTCAAAAACACTACCACGTATGCTGGCGATCGGCAAGAATCACAGGGCTAGGTTTAGCATGGTTTTGTTTGTATACAGGATTGTTGAACATGTCTGTAGGGGAACGCCTGCTGTTGAGGGAGAGAGAGCAGATTCTGTACGATTCTAGACAAGTATGCAGAGAAAGGAGACCAAGTCACATGAGTAAGGGCTGGCTTTAAAGAGATGTGAAAACACAAGAGCAAGAAAGCTGGTCATGAGGCAGAGGACTACAGCAAACTAGGTGATCGTCGTAATCTTCCCAGTGGAGACCCACATACACGCTGCACTAAATATGGAAATCATCTGTCTGGAGGCGTCAGGTAGTTAACACAAGAGCGAGGATTTAGCGAGCCAAGAGCTGGGGGAAATGGAGGCCCAGGAGGTAAACCCGGAACCTAAAGCCGCCCGTCCTCCGAACGCTTGGCCGGTCCAGGCCAGGCAGCGAGGGCGGAGAGGTTGACCGCACTGCTGAGAGCACCTATGGCTACAGAGTCCAGGACTCACGTCCAGGGCTGGCTGAGGTGGGTGTTCAGGAAAACCCCTACCTTTGACCTGGGACCCCGAGAGACTGTACCATAGGAGAAAACATGAACCATAAGTGTCCAGGCCTTTGCAGACATTGTAGCTCACCTTCAAATCCTTTGAATTCACGAAGCTGGACTAAATTAATCCCAGGGTGCGAGTGTCCCTGGATCCCTGAGAAAAAAGAGTAAATCCTCCCTAGAGAAAGATGACGACATCCTAGCCCTGTTTCCACAATTAATTTCTCAAGTCTGTCCAATCTACAAAGCAAAAAAATAACTAAATAAGAAGAAAAGATAACCAGAATAAAAACCAGCAGAACAATGGACAATAGAAGCAAACTCATGTGGTCTCCAGATACTGGCGTTATCAGACATGGACTGTAAGATAAGTATGCTTACTATGTTCAAGGAGACAAAAGACAAAATTGGAAGTTTCAGAAGAGAATTGGAAACCATGAAAAAGAACTGAACAGAAATTCTAGAACTAAAAAATATAACAACCACATTTAAGAAGCCACGCATGGGTTTCACGGTACACTAGACAAAGCCAAAGCAAATTGCGTGCTAGGTCAGAAGAATGCGTACGACATGAAGTATGGAGGAACTAGAGGAGGGAGCAGACAAAAGAGGGTGAGAGAGGAAGACAATGAGTGAGAAAGGCTAGTGTACATGTTGTTAGAATCCTGAAAAGTGAGGAAAGGAGCAATATTTGAAGAAGCAAAGACAGATTTTTTCCAAAACGGATTAGATAGATAAAACTACAGATTCAAGAAGACCTTAAAAACCTCAACCACGAGAAATATAAAAATTCCCACACTTACGTAAGCATAACAGAATTGTTCAAAATCAAAGCAAAGAGACGCATGTTACAAGAAGCCAGAAAATAAGAAAGGCTACTGTCAAAGGAGCAAAAATGAGAGTTACCGCAGTCTTATCGACAGAGACAATGAAAGCTAGAAGATAATGGCATAATATGATAAAAGGAAATAATTGTCAACCTAGAATTTTCTGCTCAACAAAAATATCCTTCAAGAGTGAAGAGGAGCCCTGGCTGGTGTGGCTCAGTTGGTTGGAGTGTCGTCCCATAAAGCAAAAGGCTGCGGGTTCAGTTCCCTCTCAGGGCACATGCCTATGCTGTGGGTTCGATCCTTAGCCCAGGGGTGTACGGTCCCCGGTCCGGGTGTGTACAGGAGGCAAGTGATCCATGCTTCTCTCTGGCATCGATGCTTCTCTCCCTTCCTCACTCTCTTAAATCAACGAAAGAAAAAAAAAAGCCCTTGGATGAGGATTTTAAAAAAAGAGTGAAGGTGAAAATAAAACAAAATAAAACAGCCCTGACTAGGTAGCTCAGTTGGTTAAAGCGTCGGCCCCGATATGCCCAGGCTGGGGGTTCGGACAGAAGGACAGACCGGCCGTCTGATTCCAGCTGTTTCTCCCTTTCAGCAGCGACTCCTGGGAGGGCTCCCTCTGGGCTTCTCTCTGGGTCTCTCGCTCCCTTAAGCAACAAGGAAACAGGACCACTGTTTTCCTGATGTCACACTAAGGTGAGCAGTCAGCATCGTGGTCCCCACGAGGATTGAAAAGTCTCAGATGGCCCGGCCTGGCCTCGCCTGGGAGTGCCGGCGTGCACCTGCGGGCCCCCCCCCCCGCCGCCCACCGCCCCGCTGCGCTGGACGGAGTGAGCAGCTCCCTGGGGCTTTCAGTGCCTGTGGCTGCAGAGCGCATTTGCAAACCACCCGCGGAGTGCGTGGTCCTGGTGACTGTTTGCACTGTGGCAGCAGAGACGTGCCTATGGTTTCTATGAGCTTTACGGTCGCAATCTAAGGGGTTGTAGACGTTTTGAAGGAAAGGAGCAGGGATGTCCTTCCTCATCTGAGGGACCAGAAAATTAAGCTAAACAGACAAATTGAAAACCAAAGGAAAAGAACCCAAGGAGACTGGCTCAGTCAATTCTGGAGAACATAATGCAGAGGTAACCTTTGTTTACATAACCCTTACCTGACCCTGCAGCCCACCCTCTGGCCCCTGCCCCTCCCATCGCCCCCTCTCCAGGCCCCATCTTCAGAATGCCACCAGCGGGTCCCGTGCTCCTTGGAAGGTGAGCCTTTGCTGGGCACCCACACAGCATCATCTCCCGGCCGGCTGTTCTCCCTGTCGGTGGGGTGAAACCTGCGGACACACAGCCTGCTAACGTGCACGCCGCTGCCCCCGACCCGTAGGTCACAGAGAGGCCGCCAGCTCTTCCGGGCCTGAGAGCTATTCCGTCCGGCGCAGTGTCTGACCTGGGGGTCAGGAGGCCCCTGGCTTGAGTCGACCTGACAGCTTGTGTCTGGTGCAGGTGGGGGCCGGGCCGGGTCCCCTGGGGAGGAAGGGAGATGAGACAGAGGTCACTGGGGCGGTGGTCGGGGGGCCCAGGGGCCGAGATCTGGAGGAAGAGGCAGACGATGAACACTCCTCAGGGCTTCTGGGGCCAGGAGGGTCGGCGCACAGAGGGCACAGACAAGTCATGCGGCTAAACCTCACGCGTGAGCTGACCGCTGACCGTCCCACTTTGGACTCTGCTCTTTAAGAGATGGCCTCACCTAATGAGGTGGATTCAGGAGCTCAGCAAGATGCAGACGATTGTTCAGAGGCCGAGGGCCCCCGCACCCGTCCGGGTCCCTCTCCAGCTCTGGCCGGCCGTGGCCTGACGGTCACAGGAGCGAGCGTTCAGAGGCTTCTGTGGCCGTGTGGTCGGCCCTCAGGTCTGCACCTACGTCAGCCCCGAGGGCAAGCGTGGCAGCCCCAGGGAGCACACACGTGAGAGCGCGTGGGGCTCTGGCGCCTCCGGCCCGTCTCTGACTCTGATGAGAGTCAGAGACCAGGAGGCCACGTGCAAAGGCTGCGTCCTGCCCCCCACGACCCTGCCGGCCGGCCCGGGGCAGAGCGCTGAGCAGGCGGAGGGTCAGAGAGCGGCGCCGTGGTCCCAGGGTTATGTGCTGCGGTGGTGTTTTCAGGTCAAGGTTCTTGGGTTCAACGCCTGTGGCTGTACGCGTTCCGTGCAGGGAAAGGATCATAGTAACTATTTTCAGGGTTCAGGAACTGAGCTTCCAGGCGGTGAATAGAACATGTGGCTATAACAGTTACAAAGAATGTAACTTCCAAGCAGCCAGCAGTGCTCTCCTGGGGCCTGAGGGTGGGTTAGGGCGCAGGCCTGTCCCCAGGTGTCCCTTGGGCCCATCCTTAGGTGTTAATTGGCCAAAAGAAATGGCTGCTGGGGAACCAGGGTCCGGGGAGCACGCAGGTGACCTCATGAGTCTGAGACAGAGTATGGCCTCCCCACCCAGCTCATAAAGACACAGGGGACAGTCACCTCCCACCAGGCACGTCACCACGCTCTCTGTGGTCTGCATGTCACGCGGGGTGGCTGAGAAGAGCAGAGGGTGCTGGTGTATCTCACCGTGGGTGCTGGGCCCACGTGCCCTGGGAGGGGCAGAGGGTGAGAGCGGGGAGACGGGGGCCACCCAGGGCCGGAGGCAGGCGAGGAGAAGGCGGGGCCAGCGGGCTCAGGGAAGGGGGAGAGGAGGGCAGGGCAACTGGGGAGCAGGAGGGGTGGGGTGCAGGGAATTGTCTGCAGCAGGAGGGCAGGCGCTCGGGGTCGGGGGACGCCTTGGTGGCCGCAGTGGGACTTAGGAACCAGGGACAGGATGTGAGGAAGGACAGACGGGACGGAGGCCTTGCCTTCCCAGAAGGAACAATGGCCATTCTTCCACTGAAGGCCGCCCTTCAGCGAGAGAGGAAAGGCCTCCGGAGGGAGGGAGGGGGCAGCGTGAGGAGGGGAGGGGGTTCCAGAGGCGGCGGCGGCAGCCACCTGGGCCTTTGGAGCTGCACTTGGAGCTTGATATGTCCTGGTCTCCAGTGTGAGAGGAGACAGGCCCGCTCACGCGGATGGCTTTCTCTGAGTGTGACTTTCCGAGGTGCCACTGACTCACTTCCCTCCCTGCCCCGCTCCGTGGCCTCCTGGGTCCCCTGGACAGGGCCCCGAAGCTGCCCAGGGCGAAGGGCTCACATGCTACACATGCTCCGCGGTTCTGTGAGACCTGTCATCGAGTCACACGGGAAGGCGGATTTCCCAGAAAAAATAAAGGAAGCTGGCCAATGTAATCAACTCGCATGAACCCCTCCTCTTTCCAAATATGTGCTTATCGGCGGAACAATCAAAACGGCCCCATTGAATAACACTTGCTCGGTACAGAGGAAGTGCGGCCGGTGAAATCACACAGGGTGCCAAGTCAAACACTCCCCACTTGTAGGCACGCAACGCGACCGAGGCTGAATGGTGCTCCCGTGTGATGACGGTCATGTTCAGGGCGCTTGGGTACCCAGCTGAGGGCCACCGAACGGCCCTCCCACAGCAGCCCCTGGAGGCACTGTGCTGGGTCCACAAGGGTCACAACCTGGCGGGGGCTTGGAGCAGTCAGAGTGCGTCCCCCCAGCCCCCGCTGCCTGTGCCCAGCGACCGGGGCCTCTCCCGCCACACCTGCCTGCCTCGGACCTCGGTCCCCTCAGCGGCAGGCAGGCCCGCTGCCAGCGGAAGCTGGTGGCACCAGGACGTCACCTGGCACCAGGGAGGAGATGGAGTCCGGGGCCAAAGGCAGGTGGGAGGAGGGGGCAGTCCTCGGTTCTCACCAAAGAGTGGACAAGGGGTCGCAGTGACAGCAGTCTCGTCGTCAGTTGTGGACTGAACTGTGCCCCCCAAATTCATATGTTGCACCCCCAACCCCAATGTGACTGTACTTGGAAATAGGGCCTTTGTGGAGGTAATTACGGTTAAACGAAGTCATAAGGGTGGGGCCCTGATCCGATAGGATTAGTGTCCCTGTAAGAAGAGACACCACAGGGCTCTCAGCCTCTCCTCTGCCTCCACCCTACCTCTCCCTGTGTGGACTCAGGAGAAGGCCCAGTGCGCAAGCCAGGAGGAGAGGTCTCACTAGGAGCCTACAGGGCCAGCACCTCGGCCTTGACCTTCCAGCCTCCAGGCCTGTGAAAAGTCCAGGCCTGCTCTTTAAGCCCGCAGGCCTGTGGTATTTTGTTACGGTGGCCTGAGCCGACTAAGACATCCTCCAACAGCAAACCTGAAAGACAAAGGAGACCAGGCAGCCTCAGGGCGCACATGGACCCTACAGGCCACCCGAGGCACCATGCCCCACCCCACGGTCCCCCCAGCCTCATGGGGGGCGGGGGTGGCAGTGACTCTGCTCGTGAGCTCTTGCCCGCGGTGGGCGTTTACGCTCGGGCCCCCAGTGGAGAGGCAGAGAAGGAAGCCCCGCGCTTCTCCGAGTCCTCGCCATGTGAGCGGGTGGGTCCCCCTCACCTTCAGGCCACAGGCTTGGGTGACGCCGCCATGGGCCCTGTGACTCTTCAGGGCAGGGGTGAGCAGTGGGGAGAGAGGCTCTCACTAAACCGAGCCAGTTTGGATGCAGATGCTCCTGCTGACGAGGACCGAAGAGGGGAACCGCAGGACGCTTGTGGCTGGGAGAAGCGGGCGGCGTGGAAACTCACGTTTTCTTGGGTTCCCGCCAGGCAGCTGCTGCTCTTGGACATTTCCATTTCAGGGCTTTAGGGGGAAAGCGTTGCGCTATAAATAGCAGGGGGACCAGAGCAAGGGGGGTGCTGTCACCTCTTGGGGAGCCGGACCCAGCCCTCCCTCCCCCATGGACCTCTGTCCGGGGTCCCTCCAGGTGCTCCAAACGCCCCTTGTCCGGCCGTTGTGCTCCTTATTGGTGTTATTTTTTTAACCTTTGAGATATTTTCCTTGACGTGGCATTTTGGGAGAATCCGAACCCTGGAAGAGTCGTAAGAGCAGTGAGAGGCGCCCACGGGGAACGCCAGCCCTCGCGGAACGCACAGCGCTCCTGGCTTTGCCGAGCTCCTCAGGGCGGCGTCGCGACAATGGGGCTCTTCACCCTGAGATGCTCCGTGTCTCCCGGGAAGGAGTCTCTCTTGTAGCCGGTGCGACGATCCCACTGAATACTCACATCTCACCAACCGACCCAAAGGCGGCTTTAGCCCCTCCCCCACCCCATCCAGGATCCAGTCAGGACTGGTCACTGTATTTACTTGTCCCGACCCCTCATTCTTCTTCAGTCTGCAAGGACTCTGTGGCCTGCCTTTGAATTTCATGGCGGTGAGGTTGGGGCCGTTAACATCTGAAAATGGCAGCGGACCACACATGCGCAGAGCAGGGCTGAACCCTGGGCAGCTCGTGGGGGAGGCCGGGAGGTGCAGCGCTGGGGGAGCTGGGGACCAGAGGAGAGGGCGCCCCCGGCACCACGCGGGGGCTGGGACCGTGTCTTCGAGGGCCAGTCCTCTGATGGGGTAGGGGCCTGAGGTCTCCGTAGAAGGGGAAAAGCAAGAGTGGACAAGGGCAGAGTGGCCCCCTGTCTGTCCCCTCTGCACCTGCACGAGAAGCTGGCTCCCTTCATGGAGCCGGCCCGGCCGGGGGCGGGGGGCATGGAGGTGGCCGGCAGACAGTGGGGCCGTTCCACCCGCCTCCCACGTCTTGCGCACGGTCCCCCTGGCCTGCCCCTGCCGTTCCTCTCCCCACAGTCCTCTCTGTCCTCCTGAGAAAGTCAGTCAGGTGGCCATGGTGATAGCGAGCCCACTCAGGGAACCCTCAGGGGTCAGCTGCACTCCCGGACATGCCCCCTTGCCTGGTGGCATCCCCACTGCGCCCACCATGCTCCCCCCTTCACACTGCTTGGGTTCTGGCGTCTGTCCCCTGAGAAACGGGAAAAGTCCCCGAGGAGGACAGGGCCCGTCTGTCTTGTTTACGGCTGTGCCTCCAGGGTCCAGCCCAGCACCCGACACGGGGTCTTCACTCACGAAATCAGGGACAAAGGATGAACCAGGGCTCGGCTTCTCCGGCAGCCGTCCGGGCGAGGACTTGCACCGCAGGTTTCCGCTTGCGCAATGGCTTTGTGGACGGGTTTTGGCGGATCAGACCTGCCCACCGCTGCCTTCAGGGTGACCTTGTCCTGGGACACAGCTGTCGTCATGAGGGCAGGACTCATTTCAAGGTACAGAAAATCCAACATCATGGTGGCTTAAACAAGATGGGAGTTTATTCCTCCCTCATGTAAACCGAGTCTGGAGAGGAGCGAGCCACAGAGTTCCTGGGGGCCCAGGCTCCCCGACTCAGCACTCTGTCCTCCCTAGGGAGTGACCCTCTTCTTCATGGTCCCAAACGATCACACCCACATTGCAGGCAGCAGGAAGGACAAGGGGACAAAAGAGAGTCAAAAAGTGCAGTCCCGGGACACCTCTGCGCTGTCCTGTCCTCTAGAACCCCTTCCCAAGCAGGCGGGAACGTGGCCCGCATTCCGGCCCCAGAGAGAAGCGGGGAGCGGTGGCTGACGCAGCGGCCTCGTCTTGGTGCACGTCCAGCCGGCCGCTGTTCCTGCGAGGGATTGAAAGGGTGCGTTTACAAGGCGAGAATCTCCTTGTCAAAGCGCGACTCTCCGGGGGATGTGTCGAGGCCGACGCTGCCCCCGAGCGCAGTTCTGGACTTGCTGCTGAGTGTATTTGGTTTTATTCAAGTCTACCCATCAAACACTTTCTGTTTTCATGCTTTTGGACTCGAGAACGCACAAAGTAATTGTGCCTCTGAACAGCACAACCTACAGGGTGTGACCGAGGGACAGCCCTCGCTGTGTCTGGCAGGGCGAGGAATGTGGCCCCACACAAAAT